TAACATTGAACGTATTTGCCAATTAAAATAATTTGTGCAAATGAATGATAGTTGCTAAGTTTGGAGGTATTTCAAAATTTAATGGCAATTGTTTTTGCCATTTTCTTCATGAATATAGATTGTTTCAAGCAAATAATTCCTAAGCACTTTACTGCACAGTGCTCTGATGTCAGAGAGGTGAATCATCCATTAGAAACAGCTAAAAAAGGTGGAAAACTGAAAGAAATGAGCTGAAGAAAGAGACATCTAAGCAGTCTTTCCAACCTGAGTCCTTTAGATACTTTTGGAAGTGGTTCCTACTGCCCCAGACCATTCAATTTTCTGGATAAGACTGATGAAAGTTTCAAGTCTAGGCTTCGTTCACTCAACACACTAAAACTTAATGCTTGGTTTTGGCTTAGCATGTTGTGTAAATCCAGTTGATTGTGGTCTATCCTATAAGTCAAGATTAACCATGCCTCAATATTTTGAGCAGCCTCAGTTGGGTACTGCTGGTCCCATGAAAAGAGAGAGTAGAAATAAATTAAATTAATAAAATAAATTAATTTATTTTAAAATAAAAATATAGGCTGCATTCACAGAGCCATGGCTTGTTTCCATTATGGTTTGTGGAATAGCTCACAGTTGCCTAGATGCGTGGCTCATACTGTACGAAAACCAATCCATGTTCTGGGCTTGTGTGATGATCTAAAATGACCTTTACTATTGAGTGGGGGGGGGGGTGTAGAAATATGAAAAATGGGGTATGACTTGTACTTAATGATAACCATGAAATGTATAAAACCCGGAAGGTAAGACATGGATAGAGGGAGGCAGAGCAGAGAAGGTAGGAAAGTAAATGGATAAGAAAGAGAGAAGCTTATGACTAGGCCATAATGCAGATATACATAGGGCAAAGCTTTCAAAATGTTTAGTTTTATTTGTTAAATACTGTATCTGCCAATTATAATAACAAACCAATTTATGTATGTGTATATGTATATAATCGTTTGCATATTTTTGCACACTCTGTGTGTGTGTATGTGTATGTGTGTATCTACACACATACATGGACAGTGAACTCAGATATAGACTTTTATGTCACGCCCTCCTTAACTCCTCTTAAACTATGGAGGATGAGCCATTTCAAAGATGGAAACTTATGCTGAGGAAAGGACAACATACACAACATTTTGTAAGACAAGTATGGCTGAACTAGCATGAGGTTTCTGATCTCTCAGTGGAAACCGTATGTTTTCCATGGCATGGAAAATGGCTGGCACTTTTCCCCAGCATAGATGGAAAGGGGGAAATCCACCTGCTCAGTGCTGTGGAAACCTGGCCATCATGGTTTCCAAAGCGGAAGAATCTATTGAAATCCAAATGGCAATTTCTTATCCTGATTCAATTTCTGTCCAGTTTCAGCAGGGGAGACAAGCAGTTTAAGAGTCCTATGGTCACATGGTGGTAACCTTTTATCCTGAGTCAGTTATCTCTTGCCATTGTTTTGCGCATCAATAGTTTTTCCTGCCTTATCTTACACTGTCCTGGAACAGCTTCAAGGTATGTAAGATGTTTGGCTCTTTGCCATAGTGGACAGCCTTCCATCATCACGGATATGAGGTCAGGTGGCCTGTTGCAGATAATGGAAGGCCTGTCCCTTGGGTGTGTTGGCTTGGGCTGATCAAGACTTTGTCACTGCCCTCCCAGAATTTGCTACCTCTGTTCACTGCTTTATTCCCAAGATTCTTGTATACCCATTAGCTCCTTCCTCCCTAGGAAGGAGCTTTGTTTGCCTTCCAAACAGGCAGAACGCTTTTCTCTTAAAAGATCCCCCACTTCTTGTTGGGCTTCAAGTGGGCTTTTCAGGTTCTTCCATCAGCTTCCCTGATCCCACCCCCAATTGTCCTCAATGCACACCCAGGGTTGACTGTTCCTTTCCAGAAAGCACTTTGGCTTGGGCAGACTTGGGGGTGGGTGGGGGGAGAAAATCTTCTTTGGAGAAGGGGGAAAAACCCTCCTCCCACAATACAATACAATACAATACAATTCTTTATTAGCCAAGTGTGATTGGACACACAAGGAATTTGTCTTTGGTGCATACAGTCTCAGTGTACATAAAAAGACAAGATACATTCGTCAAGAATCATAAGGTACAACACTTAATGATGGTCATAGGGTACAAATAAGCAGTCAAATCATACTAGGAAACAATGTAAATTGTAAGGATACAGCAACAAGTTACAATCATACAGTCATAAGTGGGAGGAGATGGGTGATAGGAACAATGAGAAGATTAATAGTAATAGCAATGCAGACTTAATGAATAGTTTGACAGTGTTGAGAGCCCAGAGTTCTCCCTCCTAGCTGGGGAGGATAATCAGAGTTTAGTCAAGTATTACAACAGTATCTTTAGCAGCTGCTTTAGGTTCCACGAGCAAAGCTAGGGACCCGCGTGGGGGAAGGATCAGCCTCTCCGGCCTCGGGTTCCCTGGCGTGCTCCCCACGCGGGGGAGGGATTTTTTTGCCTTGGTGGGAGAAAACTAGTCCGAGGCTGGACCACCCAGGGAGAGGTGCAAGGGACAGGGCAGACAGGAAGGAAGGGGGAGAGCTCTCGCCCCTTTCACGACTGTCCGTGTCCTGCGGGGACATGTCCTGAGAACCAGGATGCTGCTCGCGACCTTCAGGAATTGACCTTGGAGGGAGGGAGGGAGGGGAAAATCTCTCTAAATCTTCTTTTCGATCAGCTGGAGGAGTGTCCGGATCAGCGATCCACTCACCCACCCACCCACCCACCCACCCCGGAATACTTGCTCTGTTAACCAAATCAGATAGAGGCCGCCTATCTGCCGGCGGAGTTCTCTGCTGTCTGGAAAGAGATCCGCAGCTGGGCTGGGTTGGAAAACGGAACCTCAGCGAGGGATTCCCGTTCGCGCCCCTTTCACAGGCTGAGCCTGGCTGGTGAAAGTCGCGCCCCTCTCGGGAAGATGAGGGCTGCCTCCCCAAGCCCTCCCCAAGCCCTCGCAGCACTGTCTGCTGCGAGCCGCGGCTGGAAAGGGAAGAAAGGCAGAGAAAAGCCCAGGCGCGCCGGCCCAGCAGGTCAGAGCCTGGAGCTACCCGGCTAACCCTAACCCGCGATCATCGTTTCTGTCTTGCTGGTCCCAGAGCCTATACCTCCCCATTGCTGCGAGGCCGTTTTACAGCCAGCCATTGCCTCCTTTCTCGCTCCCAAATTTCTGGAAGCTCATTTGTTGTCTTTGAGGGAGGGGGGAGAAATATATAAGAAAGGACAAGGATTATTCTGTCGGATGGAATTACCTAGCTCTCCCCTAACCACCACCCCCTCACCCTCCCTGCTTTTCAGCTAGACGTTCGGACGTAGAGAATGCAAAATATTCCGAGAGAGAAATTTCCTGCTCTTTCCACCTTCCTTCTCTCTCCCCCCCCCACCCGCCCGCCCCCCCCCCCCCGCCCGGGCGGGTACTTCCCTCCCCCCCCCCCCCCCCCCCTCCCCCCCCCCCCCCCCACCCGCCCGCCCCCCTCCCCACCCGCGGGCGTCTTTTTCTCCCAGTCCCCAGTTGCCTTGATTCAGGCCTTGGTAATTAATTTGGCATTTCAGAAAAGCCCCTGATCTGGATAAAGCCGCCATTCATCCTCTCTGCCCAATCTGAACACAATCTGGAAGAAAAGCTTTCAGAGAGACAGAAAACGCCTTTCGCTCCCCGTTCAAAAGAGCTGTCAGTCGTCGGAATAAATCGCCCCTGATTATTTCGAACCGGGGCTCCGGCCTCGCCGCCGAGCCACGGACTTTTACAATTTGGGGCAAGAATGGGCCCCTTTTCCTCGTTCTCTCTCCCTCTTCCAGCGCTCCGGCAGTCACTTCTCTCTGCAAATACAATTTTCTGAGAATATAACTTTTTTGTTAGTAAGGTTGGGCGTGTTGTTGCTTCTTTCTTTCTTTCTTTCTTTCTTTCTTTCTTTCTTTCTTTCTTTCTTTCTTTCTTTCTTTCTTTCTTTCTTTCTTTCTTCCTTCCTTCCTTCCTTCCTTCCTTCCTTCCTTCCTTCCTTCCTTCCTTCCTTCCTTCCTTTCTTTCTTTCTTTCTTTCTTTCTTTCTTTCTTTCTTTCTTTCTTTCTGAGGTCTCGTTTTCCTCCTAATTCTTTAGATGGAAAAGGGTTACAAGGCAACTAACTTTGGCAGAGAGGTTTGAAATCAGGCTGAGCTGCTTCAGAGAGAGGAAAAGAAAAGCGCAGTACAATTTTTCCCTTTCCTTAGTGTCCCTCATAATTCGCATCATCCACAGCCAACGGGGCCGCGATCAGTATTGTACAATAACACATCTGGAGTTCAGTATAATGCACATAGTCCAGAAACCTATATGTACACGTGCCCATCTCTCTCCCTTTATCTCTCTCTCTCTCCATCCAACTATCCATCCATCCATCCATCTATTTATCTATCTACCTACCTACCTACCTATCTATCTACCCATCCATCCATCCATCCATCCATCCATCCATCCATCCATCCATCCTATCGTCGTCATCATCATCATCATCTCTCTCATCTTTCTCTCTCTCTCCCTCTCTCCCTCCATCATCTCTCTCTCTCTCTCTCTCTCTCTCTCCCTTTATCTCTCTTTCTCCATCCAACTATCCACATCCATCCATTTATCTACCTACCTACCTACCTACCTACCTACCTACCTACTACCTACCTACCTACCATCCATCCATCCATCCATCCATCCATCCATCCATCCTATCATCATCATCATCATCTCATCATCTCTCTCTCTCATCATCTTCTCTCTCTCCCCCCCCTCTCTCCTCCCTCCCTCTCTCTCTGATTAGTTTAGCCCCCCCCCCAAAGACTCTGGGCAGAATTTCCATACTAACGCCTAATACATCCAGCAATACAAGTTTAACCCGACCTCTCTGGATGGCTTTAGTTTAAGATATACAGGCACCTGAAGTCCAAAAGCTCCTTCGGGGAGGTGGGGGGGAGGGGAGGATAAGTGAGTCCTGTGACAAAAGCTAACGAGGCGCGATTAAAAGCCGTTTCCCCCCACACACCCGCCGCCATCCGCCGACCTGACGCGATCCAGACAACGTTAAGCGCATCCTTCCTTCTGTCCCGGCAAAGTCCAACGGTCGTCGTCGTGTTTAATTGGGGTCTAGTATTTATTCTTTCTTTAATAAACGCCGTTATTCTTGAACTCCCGGTCTTCCTGGAAAACATTATTCCGATCGGAGCCCCGCCGGGAGGAAGTGAGAGGAAGAGGCGCCGTCCAATCTGGAGAATTCTCCCGCGTTTCCCCTTCGGGATCGGAGGATCCGACCACACCGGCGTCCCCTTCCATCCCCGTCACTCGGTCCGGTGGAACTACCGGCTGCATCCGGCGAAGCCAAGCAGGACTTTATCTTCCTTCGCCCTTGGACCCTTGCAGTGCGAAACCTGAAGGCGAAGTCCCGAGAAAGGCCAGCGAGGAACCCGGGTAGAATTGACTGGCGAGGGAGGTAAGATCTACTTTAGAGAGAGAGAAAGATGTTTGGGGGGGGGAGTTCAAGGCGTCCCTCGGAAGCCCTCGGAGGAGCAGATTCGGACCCTCTTTTCTGACCATCCGTGCGGACCGCGAACAACGGCGAATCTCTCTTTTCCCGCGCGTGCACAGCCCCCCCCGCGAACCAAGCCCTCCGAGCTCTTCTAAAACCCCCCTTCCCCTCTTTGTGGGGCAGTTTTTCTCCGGCTCACGGCAACTGCTCTCCGGCGGAGCTTCGGGCCTCTTGTAAGGAAAACAAGGGTTGAGCTTGGCGGGAAGGGCTAGTCCAGCCACTTTGGGGTGGGGGTGGGGTGGGGGCAACAGGCTAGCGGGTCCGAGCATAGGCGGGAAGCTTCGTACGTGTAACAGTGGATGGATGGTAATAATTACTCGGTTCACGCTTTTCAGGAGTTTCCACAAACTCCCCGGGACGGGCTGCGACTTATTTTTGAGCAAAGAGTAGAAGATCTTCACTAAGCCAAAAAAAAAAAGGGGGCGTCTCGTTAAATTAGAAAGTAAAAACTCGGTACATTGACAGGGGACGCAGTGCAGTTCTGATGGATGGGTTTAATATCCGTGAATACGTGTCACCCATCACTTCCAACGCCGATCCCTAGTTTCGCATTAATAACAGCCCTACTATATTCGTAACTCCCCGAGTGTTTCTCTCTCTATACGCCAGAAGGGGCTTGCAACAGGTCTCGTCCTTTGTCGGTGGCCTTCTCTGAATCTTCGGAGCCGATGCAGTCTAAGCCCTGAAAGTCAGTCGTGCGGATTCTGGGTGTTCATACCAGTTTTGGACGGGAGGACAGACCCTTCCGTTCCCAACAGGCAGAATGAGAAGAAAGACGAGATAGTTCTGAAGCATCCAAAACGGCATCCCTCTGGCCAGGCCAGGGTGGAAAATGAGGCAGCCCAAATACATCCACATATACGTCTCCAGCTTGACGGCAACAGAACTGGCTTGCCTGAGGCAAGACCGGCTGTTTCGCAAGTCCTATTTAACCATAAGGCGTCCAAGGCGAAAAAGGTCTCTTTCTGGAGAGTATGAAATATGTAACCTTCTTCTTAACGCCATCCTTGAAGCGATAGAGGCAAAAAGCAGATTAAACGTCAGCTCAGCTGCTCATAGGTTGCGTAAACCTGATGCAGCACAATCCTTTATGTGCTTGTTCAGGAGTCAGGTCTGTTATCTTCTATGAAGCGTACTAAATATGCACAGAAGGGAGGGTTGGTTTTTTTTTTTTTAAAGTAGCCTTTTCTTTTTAAAATAGTTTTTTAATAGCCTTTTCTTTTTAAAGTAGTTTTTTAAAGTAGCCTTTTCTTTTAAAGTAGTTTTTTAAAGTAGCCATTTCTTTTTAAAGTAGTTTTTTAAAGTAGCCTTTTCTTTTTAAAGTAGTTTTTTAAAGTAGCCATTTCTTTTTAAAGTAGCCTTTTCTTTTTAAAGTAGCCATTTCTTTTTAAAGTAGTTTTTTAAAGTAGCCTTTTCTTTTTAAAGTTTTTTAAAGTAGCCTTTTCTTTTTAAAGTAGTTTTTTAAAGTAGCCATTTCTTTTTAAAGTAGTTTTTTAAAGTAGCCATTTCTTTTTAAAGTAGCCTTTTCTTTTTAAAGTAGCCTTTTCTTTTTAAAGTAGTTTTTTAAAGTAGCCTTTTCTTTTTAAAGTAGTTTTTTAAAGTAGCCATTTCTTTTTAAAGTAGTTTTTTTAAAGTAGCCTTTTCTTTTTAAAGTAGTTTTTTAAAGTAGCCTTTTCTTTTTAAAGTAGTTTTTAAAGTAGCCTTCTCTTTTTAAAGTAGTTTTTTTAAAGTAGCCATTTCTTTTTAAAGTAGTTTTTTTAAAGTAGCCTTCTCTTTTTAAAGTAGTTTAAAGTAGGTTCTGATAGATCTGAAAAAGCAAAAGCCAAACTAGAGCTTCACATCAATTTAGATGAGCTGTTGAAAGCTTTGAATAAATGGCAGTAGACCTTCATTTATTCCCAGAAGCAACATAAAAGCCAGAGAAGCCCCTTTGCTTGCTCCATCAGACCCAGGGCTCTCCTGCTCCAGCCTCCACCAGCCAGCCCCCTTGCGCAACTCCCATCCTGGTCAAATGGCTGTGATGCTGGGAAAGGACCAATGTCCCCTTGCTTGGAGCTTGGCTGAGCAGATTCTTTCAGTAACCCACAGAACATGAAGGCCTCGAGTGCAAACCCCGGTTTCCTTCCTCTGTGTAGGGAAGTTTCATTTAAATGTGGATGATCTCCCAGCCCTTGGTCAACTCTTTGAAAAAACACATTCACACTCCTCATTGAGTCTAATGGCTACCAACAGCATTTGACCTAAGGAAGAGGAATAATTTCATTATCAAAATATTATCCGTATCTTGCTTCTCACTGGCTATTTCTAACTGTTCCCTGAAGATCTGGACAAAACCTCCTGAAAGCTGTAGAGATAAAATTATATAAGGTTGACTATAGTCTATGTAAGATTCTGCTACTAAAAGGTTGCACTTTTTAAAGGTGCTAAAGGAATCACTGTGGGTTGTGCGGTGATTGATAACACAAACACCCCTCCCATCAACTATCATGAAATATTGCCAAGCAAAATTACTGATCAAAAGTGGGGGGCAGGAGGGGGGAATGTGAAGAAAAGCAATGCCATATGATAATTTAATTTAGAGCACTTCATGTTTTGTCACTGGAAATCTGGAAATAGTAAGACTAGACTAGCTTTAAACTTCTGTTCTGGATACATAGAATGCATTATTCAATGGTTTTATTATGAAAGCCATGGGGGGAGGGGCGATGACTCATTACCACTTGGGGAAAAAATACTTGAAGCAGTTAAGCTGCTCTGAGCATCAAAATAGAAAGTTCATCAATAACATATTCATCAACTCCACCATGCCAACCACTACCTCCATAAGCATTGATGGAGACTCAGCCAGAATATCCACTGATCAAGGTAGCTAGGAATTATGGAAATTATATCTCAGTACATCTGGAGAATATGTCTATGGAGATTCTCAGTCATCCAGGACATGGTTGTCCCAAAGGTGCTTTTTTCAAGAGGCAACTGGACTTCCTGGTTTTTCTTTGAAGACGTTTCAGCTTCTCCTCCAAGAAGCTTCTTGGCATGAGAAGCTAAATGTCTTCAAAAACAACAACAACAACAACCCAGAAAGTCCAGTTGCCTCTTGAATAAAGCACCTTTGGGATCTAGAGAAGATAAACTTTGGGAAATCTAGGGAAATCAATAATAGAGCAACACCAATCAACCATGCTATCCCTTGCTTAGAATAGACTTGCAAGGTGGAAGGTATAAATTCCTACCTGAGGAGAGGGCAGTAAAAAAAAACGGAGAGCCAGCTACACTAGGTGCAATTTGCCTAGATCTTGAATTCCAGTATATGTCAAATATACAGATCAAGAAAACCTGTTTAGGTCTTGGCTGATCACAGCATAACAAACTTGCCTGTGTGAACTTAGGAACCTTGTTGCATTTTTACAGCATTGTGGTTTTCCAAAACAATGCAATATAATGGTCTTTTTTAAAAAAAAAAAAAAATCTCATCTTCTTATTGATTTTCTTATTGGATCTGTCCAATTATTTTCAGTGACAGAATGAACTGCTTAAATCATGCCATTTCTTCAAAGTTGGCCTCACTGATTTCAAGAGTGTCTAACGTCTATGCAATATTTCTACTTGACAATCCAAATAGCAACCCCTGAAGCAGTGATATATTGAAAGGGTCACATCAATAAGATGGGTGGCATCTGCTCCACACTTTTATCTATTCCTGTCTGGCAGCTGAAGTTTGCATGATTTCTGTCCTCCATACTTATCCTGCTATTTCAATCCCACTGCTGACCCTTGCAGTGTGTCCCTCCCTATAAGGCTATAAGTTTTAGAAGGTTAGTTGTCAGCCTTCCTTTGAAAGATGAAAATATGCAATCCATTTGTTATATTCTATTTGTTGAGAGGCCAGGAGTATTCACGGTGTTTGGGCAAGACAAATATTGTTTCATTCCTAAATAAACCTCTTTGAAAGTCAGCTTGGTTCATCCAAAAGCTGCAGCAAAGGAGGAAAGGCTACTCAGATGAGGCAGAAAAACCAGACGGTTTCAATTGTAAAGGGTGGGATGAAGGAGAGAAAAGACCTTGCCAGGACATGTCAGCCAGCAAGCAGAAGGAAAGAGCAGTGAAGGCCTCCTGTGGCTGATATATTCCTTTTCCATTGTTCCACTGCAACAGAGAGAGGCTACCTACCACTCCTACCACTTCAGAAATCCATTCCCTCCTTTCTTGAAATCCAGTGCCACAGCTTCAGTTTAAACCAGGAATAAATAGATTAATTTTGCTTGGTCTACTTTGAGTTTTGATTATTATTACTGCCTTGTATGCTCAATGGGTACACATACACATGTTCATGATATTGAAGGAAAAAAAACCCTCAAAATTTGACATGCAATGGCTAAAAAAAATGAAACTGAAGGAATTATCATGGTAGCATAAGAACAATAAAGGCAAACATTGTAGTCGACAAAACAGAAGGCATGTATTTCAAATGACAGCAAATGAATACAAATAAAGCTGCCAGTCACTTTGCCTGGGAAGTCAGCAAAATTGTCAAAACTAGGTAAAAGCAACACCAAGATAGATTAAAAAACTGGACATTGACATGTATGTAAAAATAATGCCTTTGCTGTTAACAAAACCTCCTGGGAGCACACATTCCTGAAAAAGTCTTAGAAAATGAAGTGGTCAAAATCCTGTGGGATTTTAAAATACAAGCCAATATTGTACCCTGAACATATATGTCTGTCACTGAAGAGCTGTGCCAAAGATTGGATGTTTTAAATTTCTGGGCCTGAATTCTTGCTTGGGACCTCCTAAATACTACACTGAAACTTCCATGACTCCTAAGCTTTTGATTAGAACCCAAATCATCAGAAAATGCTCACTCTGAAAAGTGTGCTATTCGTTGAATAGGTAAATAATCA